AATCAAGTCCGCCAAAGAATACTGGGTTTTTGTATACTATTTGGCCAACTGGACCGCACTGCAGTTTTTTTTCGATTCTTGACTTCAGGTGTAAAAAATTAGACCTTCTGTCAATTAAAAATCTTGTAACCTCCGTGTTTTTGAAAGTGTATCCCGAATCCTCACATTCGAAAGCTTCACCATTCATATGAGCGGCAATCATGTGTTGTGGTGTTTGAGACATTGTGGAAATTATGGTGTCTGAATAACGGAGTGTAACAACGTTTTAGTGTTTTAGTGTGTTTGAGTCTTTGAGTGTGATTGATAAAGGCTTTATATAATGAGCTTAGTGCTTCTGAATGTTTGAGTCTTTGAGTGTGTTTGTTAAAGGCTTTATATAATGGCCTTAGTGCTTCTGAATGTTTGAGTCTTTCATTAACCACGCATGCTCCTTAATGAATAACGTGAACCACAGACTTGATATGAAGTGACAATGCATAGTTCTGCATTTACATGTGATGTTCAAGTCAGGAATCTCTGTCTGCCTTTCATTAACCACGCATGCTCCTTAATCAATAACGTGAACCACAGACTTGATATGAAGTGACAATGCATAGTTCTGCATTTACATGTGATGTTCAAGTCAGGAATCTCTGTTTGCCTTTCATTAACCACGCATGCTCCTTAATCAATAACGTGAACCACAAAGTTGATATGAAGTGACAATGCAAAGTTCTGCATTTACATGTGATGTTCAAGTCAGGAATATCTGTCTGCCTTACATTTATCACGCATGCTACATAATCAATAACGTGAACCACATACTAGATATGAAGTGACAATGCAAAGTTCCGCATTTACATGTGATGTTCATTTATCACGAATGCTCCATAATATGAAAAAAGTATAATATGGAAAATAGTATAATACGAAATAAATCACACTTTGACTTGAAAATATTAAATATATAATATGCTGAATAAAAAATCACACTATGCAATGAATGAACCACTGTATGATTAGACGCTACACTGAAGGAATCTCCTTTTTTCACATGTGATCTGCATCCCTACATTGACCATGCAGGCCTACGAGCATCTGCTTTCATACATTAGACGGGACACAGCATTACAATAAATGCCATGTAGCCTGTTTGATTAGACGCTACACTGAAGGAATCTGCATCCTTTTACCAAAAAGACACTGCATTTATGCATAGCTGAAGCAAAGTGCCAACCATGCACTCACACCACACATATGTCACGCCAAGTGCTCTGCATGCACCCACACAACACATATGTCATGCCAAGTGCTCTGCATGCACCCACACAACACATGTAACGCCAAGTGCTCAGCATGCACCCACACAACACATACATCTCATCACAAGTGTCAAGCATGCACTTAAACCATATCCACTCTTACAATATAAATATGGGGTATTTACTCATCAAATTCTACTCACACTTAAAGTCTCCTACTCTCTTACTCTCCTACTCTCTTACTCTCCTACTCTCAAACTCGCAAACTCTCAAAGTCTGAAACTCTTAAACTTTCAAACTCCCAACTCTCGACAATGTCTGTACTAACCATGGGTGATTCTCATAGAGGGACGGTTGAAAATATCGCCGAGTTTGTAAGTCTTTTTGTTCATGTCTATGTTTTACCATTTTGTCCAAAAAAACTATAGTAATTTTGTCTAAAAAACTATAGTAATTTTACTTCATTATTTTGCAGGATGTATCAAGGTTTCGGTGTCGTGTGCATGACTACATACCACACGACCCCCTCATTACAAACTATCTTATACAGTGTGGGTTTGGGTGTGTCATCGAAATCAAATCTTATTCCCTTGACACAAAATTTATTCTAGCGTTGTTAGAACGCTGGAGACCGGAGACACATACATTTCATCTTCCTTGTGGTGAGTGTATTGTGACTCTCCAGGACGTTTATATGTTGCTCGGCCTACACATTGATGGTAAGGCCGTCAAGGGCAAAGTTGGTGTCCCTGACCGACTTTGTGAAGATTTATTGGGCGCCCCTCTTTGTGAGGACGGACCTCAGGCGGCAAGCAAGGGCCGCCCGAGGGGTCAGGGTATTAACTTAAAATACCTGAGAGAACAATACAACGGTATTGTTTTAACGGATGAGAGCACCGAGTATGAGAAAATACTCAAAACTCGGTGCTATATTATGATTTTATTTGGGCACTTTTTATTTCCAGACGGCACTGGAAATACAATTCATACTATGTATTTACCATTATTGCGTAATATCAACAAGGTGTGTGAATATAGTTGGGGATCAGCAGTCCTCGCCCATCTATATAGCGCACTTTGTAAGACGTCCAAAAAAAATTCTTGTACTTTTTTTGGTTGTGCCTATCTTTTGCAAGCTTGGGGTTAGTCGAGGATGCCAATGCTTGCTCCAATAAACAGAAATTCTTTTACGTTCCCCTACGCAAAAAAGTAAGTATCTTTTCAACATTATTTGGCAGCTACGTATTCTATTTCAGTTAATAATTTCTAACTTCTGTTTATTTGTTTAGGTGGTCTGTACCCGGGATGAATTATGAAAAATGTCCAAGGCACTCTATAATTCAATACCGCAACCTAATCGACCACCTTGGGCCAAACGATGTAAGTTATTTACCCTAATTTTTTTTAATGTATATGCATACACTTCACACATCCTGTCTAACTTAATTTTACAACTACATTGTAGTTTGTCTGGATGCCGTACGAGGGTCTCGACCACCAGCCCAACCCCGACGATGCTGCTGTGTGGACAACAAAGACACCTATAATTAGGTTCACTACGGTGGAGATGCACCAAAGTGATCGGGTCAAACTCCAATTTGAGATGCATCAAGATATTCCAGATGCTCCCGTAGACTTGGGGAAGTGGCATCAAAAACGGGTAGACGCACAGTGGATGGTTGGTGATTGGAAGGAGTTTGCAAAGGAGCTGCGTGTACTTTGGAAAAGAAGAAGGCAATACGTCTTAACCGACAATCTTGTGCACGGGGCTAGGCCAAGTCTTCAATATATGACTTGGTTTAGTTCTGTCACGACAACCCAGCCTTTCCTGTCCCAGCCAACCTATTTGGCCGATCCAAGGGAACGCGGTTCTTCATCATACCCACAAATACCAACAGACACCCCCCATCAACAACAGCCACCATACGAAGACCATCACCAACAACCACCATACGAAGACACCCCCCAATCCATGCCAACATATACCCCCTATCAACAACAACCACCTTACATGCCACCAATCCAATCCCAGCCTCAACCATCTAACCAGTACAGCCCTGATATGTCTTTTGATCCTACCCCTGCCACCTATATCCCGGACAACTCATTCGACCCTACCCCCTCCAACTACACCTCCAACCACCCACTATTTAACTACCACACCCCACAACAACCAACACACCTAGACCAACCCAACTCCATGTACACTTTCGGACAACCATACCGTCCATACTCCACCCACCCTCCCCGACAATCGTACGAAAACATGGGCATTGGCCTTGACTACGAAAGTGCATGTGAAATGGGACCTCCCGGCTATTGGGGACAAATGATGCAAGATCTAGCTGATACGCCGGAGCCGTCCCAACAGAACCCTCCACCACAACTAAACACACAACATCCTGACACACCACAACAACCTCGTCGAAGACCTCGTCGCAACACGCGTCCCCCCCAATGTGGCACCGGTGGTCACTTGGATAGAGCCGATCATTAGGTTTTTTTTTTTAATTTTCATTATATTTATATTTTTGTTCGTGTATTTTTAATTACATTATAAATTAATATAATTTCTTTTTATTATCACTTTATGCTTACGAATATATTTCAATTATATTAATATTAATTATATTATAAATTAATATATTTTATGATTAATAGTAATAATAATTAAAATCAAAAAACAATTACATATTAAAACTTTAAATATGATAATTAAAACTATAAAACTTTAATATGATTTTCTCTAAAATATGATAATTTTAAAACTTTAAAACTTAAAAATATTATATGATAATTAAAAGAAAACTGAAAAACGAAAACAAACCCTAACAATATAACCAATTCGCCAATTGGTGTGGCGAAAGCCCACAAAAACACCCTGTCGCCAATTGGTTTGGCGAACGCATGTTAAACCATTTTGAAACATTGCCATTTTAGTAATAATTTTAAAAGTGTGATTTATTTGGTAAATAAAAATTATTACATTGCTAGTTTAAAAAAAAATTCTGAATTTGCCATGCCTTTGACATTAAATCTATTGTTAGTGTTGTAATACTTTACAATGTAAATGTAAATTATTAGTTTGAAGTGATTATACTACCTTAAAGTTTTAAGATAAAGGTTAAACAATTACTTTGTATTGTTTAAATGAATGTTTGCTTCTTAGGAGTATTAGAGCTTAAAATATGCAACTATGATTAAAAGGTGTGAGTATTCTATTGTAGTCACATTGTGAAAATAAAATTATATTAATTACATTTAAGAATATGTAATAACATAGTTAAACTTGAATTAAAAAAATATATATTATTTTACAACAAAAAATCAAAAGTTAAAACAATAAAAGATGCGGAATTGTGCCAAGAAAAAAAATAGTGTTCTCGAGAAAAAAAAATACAATTTGACCTTAAAAATAAATAATAAATATAAATAATGATTTTTTTGTTTATAGATGAATAATGATTTTTTAAAGAATTAGTTTATTACCTTCACCGAATGTAACTGTTAGATTGGTTAGATCTTTTAGATAAAAAAAATATGAGCCAATAAAATATAGTGGATATAGTCTCACTTTTAGAATCTTTCATCTAAAAATTCAAACCAAATCAAATGGATAAAAAAATATAGTGGTTTGGTATTAATGTCCTCTAGTTAAAACTATAACAATAATCACAAAGGGGTTAAGACTAATAAGCATAAAATACCCCTAATTTTATTGTACTCTAAAATGATTGTTTGATTGTCTTAACACTTTAATCAATTTGTTGTTCCATTTTCTAATGGTGTCACTTCAAAATCTTGGATGGCTACAAGCTTTGCTCTTCCACCATACTCTTCTGGGAGAATCTCTTCACCAACTTCATTTATGAACTCCTTTCTCTCATCTTCATTGCTTATAATCACAATCTGCATCCAACAACCAAAACCAGCAAATGTTACATCATATTATTCGAGTTTAACTTCGAAATGCTTTCAATGCAAAAAGTTTTCCTATGTCACTTTCGAAATAATAGGTACCTTTTCTTGTGTTGCCTTGTCTAGGAAGCCAGAAACTAATCTCCAAACACTCACAAAAAACCATGGCATGTGTAAAATATAGCATTTTGCTAATCGTTCGGGGTAGTAACTCTGCGATTCAACCAATAAAACAGAGAAGCATGACTTTATATATTGACATTTATGTTAGACATGAAAATATCAACAAAAACAGAGATGGAAAATTACCTGTAAAAATTGAAATCCAGTTATTAAACCACGTGCATCAACGTTCTTATAAGAAATATTCTGCAGATCAAGAACTCCAATCAACTTTTCATTTCCTACCTCCCTTCCTTTAAAAGCACTGAAAATAAAAGGTTAGGCAATTAATTAATTTTGTCGATTTCTAATGATAATGGTAGTAGAAGTCAGAACACGGTTGAAAACAACTCTTTGATGATGACATTATTATCACTAACAACTCTTTGCTAACAATTTTGCAACAATTGTATTGTAAAAATGAAATCAGATTCCTACCCTAGTATGATTTGGCTCTATTTCAACAAGTCACAAACACAACCTATACTTTCCAACCCTAGGGTACGGAAATGGTTTGTTCCATTTTTACACATCTACTTATACTTTCTAAATTCACAGATCTACACTATGAAGCACTGATACACAAACATGGGACTAACTCGTAGACGCGATAGTACTTCTAAAAATTGAAACATTTGAATGTTTAGGAACTGAATTTAGCTTTAGACTGCAGAAAATGGTGCTGATGTATCAGTCCCATGCAGTATAACAGTGCAAGTTCCCTTAAATACTAGATAAGAAAGCAGTGCAATTTAGAAGTAGAGAGTACCTCGCAATGGTCTTGTCTAGTAAATGTACAATAAATTCTGAAACAAAAAACAAACCAAGTCAGAGAATTAAAAAGAAACTGTTATCATCTAAAATTATATTTCAATGCAGTCACTTGATTTCCACTTTTTTATTATTCAACCAGATTTCCTTTTGGCCAATTTCAAATGTTAGCCGATTCTTGGAATGACACTATCATCCTTCCTTTGTGTTTACATTTCTAAAAAGGTAATGTAATGGCATATGCAAATTTCGCAAATTTCTTGCTTCATGTCAATGTTGTCGTCCTCTATTTTCTACATGAAAGATTTTTCATTTGGCCATGACAACATTGAGTGATTCCAACCCAGTTTACAACATAAGTATTAACAACTCATCCATTTTTTGACTTCTCAATAGCTAAAGTAAGATATAAATCTCCTAAAATTATTATATTTTCACTATTTCATCATGTCATGTACTTAAACTTAATTTTGTTTTGGTGTCATATCAAATATATACTTGTTTATTCCCAACATATATATTTCTGACCACAAGCACAATGTATAAAACCTACATCCAATGTAAGAATCAACACTCCCATTTCCAAACATCATAAGCGTGACCCGAGTGGCCCAATAATTAGTGGCCTAACTAATCTGACACCAATTTAAAACTTAAGTTGAATCTAACTAAATCTACAAATTCGGTTTGTAAGGTGAGAGATACCTCTCACTTATTAACTGATTTGCAGGTCATACATATCTCATGTCGGACTCTCAACAAGTCACAAACACAACCGGCTCCAAAATGTCGTATTAAAGTAGCAAGTCTATGTGATAGGAGAATATAAAAGACCAAAATTTTAGAGTAACTCAATATGTGGTGAGGAACCCAAGACTATGAAATTATTGGATATGTGTTTCTTGATGATAAATAAAATAAAACAATTCATGAATTGAAAGCAAATGACAAATAGAAGCAACCTCTCATGTCACCTTTATTTCCCTCCATGTGAAATAACCTTGATAAGTGACTTATCTAAAAAATTGGATTTGGGGAAACAACAAAAACATCTAATTCCACATAGAAAAAAAGAAAAAGGACAAAGAATGTGAACCAAAGGGGAACCCAACTGATCACATAAATTCAAAATAGGACTTATCTTTATACTAATTTATTTGCTAAATGGTCCCCACATATACAAATACATCAAAAGGCATCTTTGAACTAATTGTACTAGAATCAAAAACCAAATAACAAATTTCTATTAGCTATGGAACTTTGACTTTTAATAGTGGAAGTTAAATTGATTTATGTTTAGATAAATTTCTGTAAAAGTGAGCTGAATAGTAAAAGTAGAATCAATTCTAAACATATCAAAATCAATTCTACGCATTCTGAATCAATTTTGGGTGCTACAAACATGAAACCAAACGCACACTAAATTAATAAAACAAAAGTAAAATATTACTCTTAAACTGATTCTGATCCTTGGAAGGGAAGTGTCTACTTGCTTGAACAATCATGAGAGGAAACTTATCTTGAGACAAACCCTGCAAAAAGATCTTTCTAGTCTCCAATTCATCCGGAACTTCAGAATCTGAAATAAACCCATTAGGAACCATAGTCTCTCTCCATTTACGCCATTGAACAAACATCTTAGCTGCTTTATCTGAATCCATTGACCGAGCAATCAAAAACCTCATCAGTGTAGCGTCCCCATAACCCTGCAAAAATCAAAATCAAAAGTCCTAAAAATTTAACAGAATCAGTATATATTATATAACGTTTTGATTTATTTACCTGTGTGGAAGAACCAAGTTTTGTGACAGAGTTTTTGAATTGGGTGAGTTTGGAGTCTGTTTCTTCGGCCATTTGGGGCAGAAGAAAAGACCAATTGGGAGAAGGAAAGTGAGAGGGGGTAGTAGTAATAGTGGCTGAAGAAATATATTTAAAAATTGAATTGTTAAGTAAAATATTTTATTTTTATTTTATTATTTCTCCATTGATATTTTTAACCAGCAAGATGAGAAGCATAATATTCTTATTCTATTTTCTAACTTTGACATAAGGTTACTATTGCACCAAGATATTCAATGGGATTACAAGTGTGGGTCCTTTGCAACATGCAAATTTTCCAACTAACTTTTCGATGCATTCAATGCGAAGGTGCACAAGTTCTTGATTTCATGGGGCAATAAATACAATCCCTAGTCATAGAAAAAGAGTTGGAGAGAAGAGAAGATAGGGAACACTATTTGAATTAGAGAAGTGAAATTTTGATATCATTTTAAGTTTCCATCACTATGTATTTATAATGTTATGGTGTATGTTAGTGCAAACTTTTTGTTGCACCCTATTTTGATGGGAGGAGATGTGTAAGAGTATTGAGAGGAATAGAGTAAAATATTGTGTGTATTACTCTTAGGATGAGAAAATACAATACAACTTATTTATACAACTTGTGAGATAACTTGTCATTTAAGTAACTAACATTCTAACCACTTCTAACTAATTTACTATCTTAAGTAGTTAAGTTGGAATTTATTGGAAGATACTTTCTATAATCTAACTTAGAAAACAATGTTTTCTATGGATGCGTCTCACTCTTTTGGAAATTTCAAAATGTCTTTCATGTGTTCGGAGAAGCATCTACGGACGCATCTTAAATCACACAAGTCTTTATAATTCAGTCACACACTTTATTTTTGTCAAAATATAGTTCAAAAATGCATCTCCGTAAACTTTATGAAGTGTATTCGGAGATGCATCTCCGAAATACTCCCTAAAACCATTTAAAAGTTATTGGAAGCGTGTTAATTACACACTGTGGTTATTTCAGAGATACATCTTCAAAATTTTCTCTGAAATAATTTAAAAGGTATTTGAAGCGTGTTAATTACACACCGTAGATATTTTAGAGATACATCTTCAGAAACCCCCTGAATGGTTTTAAGACAACAATATTGTCCCAACATTGTAATTTTTTGAGGCCAAGTTATATTAAAGTAAAATCAAGTTATATTAAAGTAAAATAAAGTAAAATTAAAATGTCACATATTAATTAAAGTAAAATCAAAATGTATCGACCATACATAACTTGTTTCGAAAATACAATCAGACATAATCTACTAAGTATGTCTAACCCTCCAACTTCTTTGTCTGTACTGCAAGGAATTTTGTGCTTCCACAATAATGCCTTCTACAAGGGTCAACTAGGGACTACCCTCCTCAAATAATTCTACCTCTATGCATGATCTCCTAATATCCACATTGCGCCGACAGACGCTACCCACGTCCTAGGTGTTGTCACCCCTAACTTCTAGTACCTCTTGATCAGAAGACCTAAGTGGTCTTCTAATAGCGTATGGTGTCATGATAGGGTGTGACACCCTATAAGACCATGTCATGTAGTCGTCATAATCCCATTGAACAAGAGGTGGCACCCTGCGATACTTCTTTGGAACCAAGTGAATCTCGAAATCCTCAAGTATCGCATCAAGATCGATGGAAAACGATGGGAGAAGCAGACTCTGATGGATGTATCATAATAATCTACAAATATCCAAATTGGCGCATCACTCGCTTGGGAAGATGCAGATAGATCATACTTGACCCATGTTAGACGATGGCACGGATCTAGAAGGGGGGTTGAATAGATCGCTTGCTTAAAAAGAGTCGGCGCTACCAATAAAATCGATTTTTAAAAATTGTTTAGTTTGCGGAAGCGGCCGAGGAACTATACCGTCTATAACGAACAGTTACTAGAAAACTGGATATGCGTCAAGCCTATGGAATCCGATAACGAGTAATGAGAATCACTATGCTAGTCACACTATCAATTTGATTTAGCTCACAATGTGGTATGAATAGTTCCAATGCCTTAAAATATTCAACAATAAGTGGGCAGCACACAAGGCTTTTGGTTCAGACAATTTATCAAACACTTGGCGTGCAGAGCACAACAAGTGAGTTTTGCTTTGAGTGAGTAGCTCAAGTTTCCTCGTACAATCAATGATTATACTAAATTCAAAATCAGTTTAGCATTACTCAAATCGGTCCTAGATTGATATAATTGTTTGCACTAAAATCCACAATATTAAGCAATGTAAAATGTAAGGCAAAAGACGCAACGATTTGTTGAGGCAGTTTCCCCGTCGTCCTCGCTTTGGGGTACGTTTTCCCTCAATTCTAACAATAGAATTGAGACCTTATAATATAAATTTAACCTGTTGTAGAATTGTATATACAAGAATTGAATAGCAATCAAACAAACGAACACCCTTGTTGTTGTAGATGTTATCTCCTCTTGCCCCTTGATTCGAGTCGAATCAAGTCCTTCGACAGCTTGTGAATAAACCTCTGATTACAGCTCTATGTTTGAACAACCTTCCGTCTTTAAAACCTAGCCCGGCTGATTTCAATCACTCGCGTGTCAAACCCGAAGCTCTCATTCACAATCCTCCGTTTACCATCACTAAATCAACAGAATCCACCGCTCCTCGATTACCTTCACTCGATTGAATATGTGTTGAGAAGAATCGTGCAAAAAAACCCCAAATTCAGAAAATTTTAGAGGATAAAACCCTAGAGGTTTTATTCAAGAAAAATATGTCAATTCCTTAACCCGGACCGGATTACCCAATCAGCGGCTTCGAACGTTATCACCTCTAACAATGCATAATGCACAACAAAGATTATTGTGTGTGATTGTTGTGGTATGCTATGATGAAGAAGAAGATGATGAGAACTGAATTGGCACCTATTTCACTTTTCTTGTTATTCTCTATATTATTGTGAAGTGAAAAGTGTTAGACGATGGCTCGGATCTAGAAGAGAGGTTGAATAGATCCCAATTAAAAAATCAGTCGGCGCTTACCAATTAAAAATTGGTTTTAAAAATATTTGATATGCGAAAGCGGACGTGGAAAAATTACCGTCTAAAATGAACCGTTATTAGAAGACCGGATATGTGTCTAGCCTATGGATATTATAATGAGCAAATAGATTCAACACACTAGTCACACTATCAATTGATTTTACCACTAATTAGTAGGACTGGTTCCAATGCTCCACAATGCCCACAAAATATGCAAATAATCCAAGTGAATTTTGGTGTAGGCAATTTATCAAACACTTGGTGTGTGAGGCACTCCAAGTGAATTTTGACTTGAGTAAGTAACTCTAAATTCCTTGTACAATATACTATTGTACTAGAGTTCAAAACAGTGATGAGCACTTACTTAACTCAATACAAATTTTGATAGAATTACTTATACTAAAATTACTCAAATTTTAAAGCCAAAATGAAAGTGCTGAAAAGTAAAGGAGACAAAGATTTGTTGAGGCAGTTCCCCCGCCGTCCTCGCTTCGGGGTACGTCTGCCCTTAATTCTAATAATAGAATTGAGATCAATATAATAAATATCATCTGTAGAGTTGAAATGTTTATACAAGGATAGACAAGCAAAATATACAAACAAGCTCTCTTGATGTTGATGATGTTTTCTCTCCTTGTTCCTTGATTTAAGTCGAATCAAGTTCTTCGATTGTTGTGAGTAGACCTCTAATTCTATCCCCTTTGTTGAACAACCTTCCGTTCTTCAAACACTCGGCCCGACTGATCTCAAACACACACAAATCGAACCCGAAATTCTCTTGCACACTTCATCGATTCCCACTACTAGATTGACGAAACCTTCCGCTTCTCAATCACCTTCGCTCAGTTGAAGTTGGTAAAGATGATCCGTACCAAAAACTCCCAAATTCTCCTAATCTTGGAGGGCAAAACCTTCAAGGTTTTATTCAAGAAAAACCTGCCACAAAACTCCACCCGAACCGGATTTCCAATCGACGGCTTCGGACCTTATCACCTTGACAAAACACAAAACACACCAAGAATTGTTGTGTTGTGAACTGTTGAGGATGAACATGAAGAGATTTGATGGCACCTATTTCACTTTTCTTGTTGGGTTGCAATTGACTCAAGATTTCAATTGTTATTGAGAAATGAACATAAAACCTCTATATGTAGTAACCAACAAGCCAACAAACTTAACAGCTTTTCACCCAAAGTGGAAAGTCTTCGGCAACAGCATAAACGAGCAAACGGTCGACCATAGCAGGACTATGCGTCGACGCATAGCCTGCAGTTTTAGGCAAGTTGAAATGTCTTCACAGTATGCGTCGACAATAGGTCGGCGTGCGCCGACCCGTAGGATTTTACACTGATTCATGCGTCGATCATGCATCGACCTGTGGTCGACTCAAACCCTGCAAATCTATAAAAAAAACATATTTTTGTGGTTTTGATGCATCTAGTCATAACCAATGGTCTCCCATATATATTGAATTTAATATGACAAGTTAGATGGATATAAGAAGGATATGAGAGGTGAAATATTGCATTTTTCTTGTAGAGGTAGAGTCGAGAAAACCGATTTATCCAAGATCACGTTTTGTTATCATCGAAACTCAAGTACGTGTGCTATATGAGGGTTTGCCCTCATGTACTCCCCCTTTTTTATGATGACAAAACGTGTGACGCCAACGAGAACAACGTGCAATATTAATAACATAATCTCCCTCTTGCTTTTGCAATTCGACACACACAAAAACTGATGTGATCTTCTTGGCTTTGGCATACTCCAACTCTCTTCTCCCCCTTTGACAACATCAAAAAGAGAAATAGATAGGTTAAAAATGATATGTTCAACTCAAAAATGCTCAACAGGTAATAACTAGCATCAACCAATATTCACACAAAATACTGTCAATGAAAAAGTAAAGCAACGAATAATCATATTATAGATTAAGAGATAGAGTACAATTAGAAACTCAAAAGGACATAATAATCAAAAACCAAACAGTTGGCAC